ATGCACGAATGTAAGCAAAACGCTTGCATCTGAGCATAGCCAATGCAATGCATTGCAGTAAATATTTGTATTTATCTATTTTGAATACAAGTTGGCGGTATTCATGTATGTATGCCTGTCTGGTAGCTGATGATGCCGTTAAAGACTACACCAGCGCTAGAATCGGCACCACTGACGTTATAATTGTACATATGTAGTAGGATACATAAAATGTATCTATGCATATGAATATATGTCCGCTGAAAAATAAAACGAGGAAAAACAAACAAACAAACAAACAAACAAACAACAACAACAACAATAATAATAATAATAATAAAAACAATCACTAAAGCGTCAGCCACTGCGACAGCACTTGTAATAACAAATGTACACAAAAATAAAATTAAACAAAACGTCATCTGGTAATGCATTCTCATTGCATAGAAGTCTGGTTTTGTTTCATTTCTTCTTTTGTGCTTTTGTTATTTAATATAATAAAAAAAAAAAAAAAAAAAAAAAACGAAAAAAAGAAAAAAAGTAAAATAGAAGAATAACAATAACAAGCGAATACGTTTTTTTTTTTTTCTTACTATTTTTATTCGCTTCTATTTTATTCTGTCCGTTACAGACTTTACACCCGCGATGCGATGCATTGCATTGCATTGCATTGCATTGCATTCAAGTAACTTTTTACTTTAGAGCTAGCTTATCCACACACATGTAAGATTTTCCTGATGCTATGTAAAAATGTACGTACATGCATGCATACATATAAATACACGCGAGCATATAAATGTGAAAGGCTCCTCTTATGAAAACCGATGATTACATAAACTTCACACACAGAATTTTACGGGCAAATAATAAACAGTTACAAACACATGGATGTAAATTTACACATATGCACGCGTGTATGCATATGTATAAATGTTTTGATACAAGCACACCATTCCATTCTTATTTAAAAATGTGAATATTTGTATACAACACACAATTGGCTTTTTTTTCCTTCTATTAAAATACACACAAAAAAAAAACACATTTGCGCTCATATATACATACATATGTATATATATATAAATATATTTGAACGGAGGCATACACTTAAGCACCAACAACAACACCAACAACAGCCAACAAATGAAGATATACTTTAGTTGTGAATATGTTTTAAAGCAAGATTAAGAATTTTTTATACATACACACACACACATATATACGCGTATAAAGAAGAAAAACAAGCGAAAACGTGATGAACAACAAAATATTTATAGCAACGATACACTGTAAAAAATCGGTTTTTATTCATAATAGCAATTCGCAAAAGTTAAGCGATAATTAAAGGAGAAGGGAACATTTTTCCATCGATCCATTCACTGTTTAGGCAAATATAGACCGTCCGTCTTCCCCTGCGTGTTACCAATTTTATTTATCAATCTAAACTTTTAGTGCAAATTACGAGATATCTCGTAGTTGCCAATGTATACGTGCACACACACACAAACACATACAAACTTAAGGATTTGATATTATAGAAATGTTATACGCGTACCGTGACGAAACATTCGCATCTACATTTTTCAGTTTATTCACGAAATAGCTAAACCAGAATAGTTTCGTATCATATGTCAATCACTGAACTTTCACGCGCCTGGGCCTTTTAAGGCCAAACAAATACTTTGTTAATAGTGTAATGGGCAAACGTTCAAATTTTATGGTTATAATTGCCATCGTCTTCTTTCAAGTCGAACGTACACTTCATAGTCCTTCTTGATCACTACTACCCGTGCTCATATGTAAAGCAAACATCCTTTGTGTAGTCTATTTAGATATAAAAAAAATTAAGCACCACCAGTACCCAGCACCATATGCCCTATTGGATAATAAATTTACGTGATTTAATATTACAAAATACAAAAGATATGTCTATTAGTGCTTAGGAAATGGACTTTTCCCACTTTCAAAATGAACGGCTTATATATATGTTAGGTTGGCGGAAAAGTTCTATCACCGAATATTCCTTAGGTATGAATTACACTCGAACGTGAGTCAGAAATCCAGCCATTATCGCCCAAATCAACTATCTGTTTTGCAACTCCAATCTCCAAAACGTAATTTGATAAATTAACCTTGGCAGATCGGAACATTTACAAATTTCGCTTCCGCTTCGTGTCACCTAAATTTCTACAAGCAATCCATGCATTGCTTTCTTTGTAGCACTCATACGGAATGCAATTTATTCGCTGCACTTCGTAACTAACTGAGGAAGAATATTGAAAGCAATCCCCTTATATCCCACACGCGTGGGTGGTACAGTGGACGAATTCCACCAGCTTGCCTTGACCTGACAAATCCAAATTACCTATAGGTAATAAAATACGACAAAACTTTCCCGCCAAGCTATTAAATAAATATATATAATAAATAATATATATATAGATATATATATATATATATATGTACCTATATACTATTGAGACTAAAGTGAACGTCGTTAGTATAAACAATTTTGCGATAAAAGTCGTCATTTGTGTAACGCAGAATTTTGATAATTTTCAAACATTCTTGAAACTAATTCATGATTACGTAAGCAAGTCTTGGATTAGTTGGAACACATTAATAAGAAGTGAAAGAAAACTGATGGCATAATCTTTGGTAAGTAGGGCGCTTTATCAAAATGCTATGAGCACTATTTAGCCAGCCTGACTAGCGGAATCAATTTTGTTAGCTGTTTTTACCTATAAAAATTACTATTTTTGGGTAAATACCTGCTCAGTATAAAGTTGGATCACAATAGATTGCCTGACCGATAGAAAGCCAAAGGTATTGGAGAAGCCCCTTTATACACATCGGAAAGTAAATATAAATTAATGTAAATAATATATCCATATCATCGTCCAGCACAAACAGAGACAAAAGAAGTAAAAAAATAAAGAGCTGGCGAAAAATTGACCTTGGCTAGCCAAAATTTCACATTTTTTTTCAATACTTTCATAATGCGCAGATACCAACTTCAAATTATATAAGTTCTTCCGTCCGTCCGTCCGTCTGTCCGTCTTACCAATCGTTTGCTATCTGCGCTCAACATTCTCCCGTTGGCGAAGATGAAGATATCGCCTACAAATTTGGCAAGGACACGCCTACAATGCCTAAACGCCTATTCAATAAACACTGTGGTACACTTTTGCTTTCTGTGCTTGTTTGCTTGTTACCACCACGTGAATTAAATATGGCCAATAATCGGCCACGCCTACCATAAAAATTCCGGTTTTTTCCTGTGTTTCTGCTTGTCTAGGGTATAAAAGAAAAAAAATTCCCTCATCACCGAATTTAATTTTATTACTTGTTATTAATTATTGACTTTCAATATTATTTCTATGTTGTAAGAGATATCAGGAACCCTAAGCTTTTTTTTTATATTTTCTTTAAAATTAAAAATGTTGGCAAATTAAAATTTCAATGTCATGTTAATGCGTGACTTTGCGAACGCAACGACAGGATATTAGCTTTGTTGATGACTAGCATTTTAGAAAGCAAGACTCCACCAGGTACTCCTTGGCCGGGTTAAGGCATCATTCGAAGAGGTGCTAATACATTTGCAAATTTGTATTTTCTTCAAGTCGAAAACTTTACACACATGCACACGAGTAGTAGACATAAAAAGGTCCGATAAATATTATAATAATAATAATAATAATAATAATAATAATAATGATAATAACTTTTTTCTAAATGTCTTTTGCATAAGTTATTTTTTCCACAATTTCACTTTATTGCAACTCTATTAAATATTTAAGGCAAGTGACTTTTTTTTTACCCTGATTTGCATAATTCATCAGACTACTACACTCTGGCTGACTTTGGTTAACTATAGGTTTTGTTGCAGAAATCAGAAGTTCCCAACAATCGTGTTACTAATAAGCTTAAGGTATTATATATATATATATATGTCTTTATGAGTCTCACTTGAAAAATAAAAAATAAAATTTTAGAAAAAAAAAAAAAACCATCATTTCTCTCTTCTCTCAATAATAGTGGCGATTTTTTGCACTCTATATAAAATTCGGATAACAAATTCGAGAGGGAAACTATGTAGAATTGATACAGATTTTGCGTATTTTTAATTAATAATAATTGGTTTTTACTATTGTAAAACAGACACACAAAGGCACACATGTTCATTCATTGCATTTATGATATGCACACCTAGGCAGAATTGAATTGCATTTGCACTACGCATCCAATATGTAGGGCGCGATAAAAATGCCAGTAATAGCTTTCTGATATAATGTAAATTCGAAAAAATCAAATAAATTAATTTCAACAAATTATTGAAAATATAAGATTTGGTTTGTATAGGCGAGAAATTTAAAAAAAAAAAAAAAAAAAAAAAAACCGATTTATTGAAATTGCTGAATAAGCAAAGTGCGGATCAGCTTAAGTCACGCGAAATAAAGTTTGAAAAATTCTGATGCAGACATACACAGGCACGTACATTTCACCATAACTAAATTCATTTCTGTTTGCTTCAATGTGTGGCGAAAATGAGAAGAAAAAAATTCCATTCACATTCGGCTTCGTATGGGCATTTTTCAAGTCACATATGTGGCTTTCTCTAGAAAATTTTTCCCATTGCGACAAATTATAATTCAAAATAACTTAATGCACTATGGTAGGCAAACATACGTTTATCTGCAAATAACTTAATTGCCAGCAATAAGCATTTTCGTACATTAACTCGAAACGTTAATCTACTGATAAAGTACATGCCTACGTGCAACAAGTGGATATGATAAATTTACAGGCAGCAGGGCTTCGATTTGATATTGATATGATTTAGCAATCATTGTCAATTTTCGATATAAAGTTTTCTTTTTCGAAAAAAAAGGTTTCCTAAAAAATTTCATTTATTCATATTTATTTATTGAATCTGAATGATCGTAAGATCTATTCAAGTTGAGATCAAATAAATTTATATTAGCGATTTCTTGCATTTTTTTATGCTGCCATTAACTTACCTTCAATTTCGTTGCGACGTCTACGCGACATACTATTATAATACTGCATTTCAGATTTCTCGGTAGATTCGTTTTCCTGTTTCTCGTCTTCGGTGTGCACGGGCGAGGAAGGCCCCGACGAAGCGCTTGCTGCCGATGATGATATTGAGGTGCTGCCGCTCATAATACCATTGCCGTTAGTCATTGAAATACTGTTGCCTACACTATCAATCGAGGCGCGTTTAGCTGCGTATATATATGCTGTACTTGAGGGTGAGGATAGATTATTACGATCATCGCCTTCAATTAAATCTATGGATTTTTTGCGAGGTTTTTCCGGTGGTATTGGCGCTAAACCATTTTGCTCTTCAATGCTACGTTGTTGAGCGGCAGCCACCGCTGCCGATTTAGTTGGTGGCGGCGGTGGCGGTGCCTCCGATATTTTCGTTGGCGATCGTACACGCTCGGGATTCACTTTCACGGGACTTAAATTTTTGGGTTTAGCTGCTGGTATGGGTGGCAAAGGTGGTGACTTAACAGGACTACCAATTTTGTTGGTGCTTCTCGGCTTAATTTCTGGCGGCACCGAAAAATGTCGTATAGGTGGGCTGGGAGGCTTTTCATCTTGTGTTAAATTTGTAACAATGGCTGGACGTGAATCCGTTTGGCAAGAATTTTTCAGATTAGTTGAAGAGGAGGTGGTGCACGCGATATTCTGTTGATTTTCTTTCATTTGTATCATTGAACTTGGTATAAGTACTGTACCTGGGCCGGTGCGTATAATATCGCAACGATTTTGATCGCTATGAGATCGTGTGGTTTTGGTCTTTGTAAAATGTGAAGTCCATTTTTTTTGTTTTTCTATCAATTCGCGCGAATTGAATTTGCGTTCCGGCTTCTCCGGTTTATCATTTGCTAATAAAGCACTTACACTCCCCGCCGCCGAAGTGCCGCCAGATCTTTCATTGTCTTCTATCTTAAGCCTAGAAATGTTATGCTGAAATTTTGGACTGGGTTCCATAATGAATTTTGAAGTATTTAACGTAGGACCTCCATTAAGTTGATTACAATTATTATTCGCTAATGAAGCGGCCACTTGGCATCCCGACGGAAATGGTGAACGACGTTTTGGCGGCGAAGCCGATCTATCTGAAGAACGCGACGACGATCGTTCCGTATGATTCAATTCACAGAGATTATCTTCACGTGACCCTGAACGTTTCACACTCAAATTCGAATTGCTTTCTACGCCCAGCTTCTCGAAGAGGGCACGAGCATTATTGAAGCGAGCCGAATGCGATTCAGTCCGCACCACAGTAACTGGATTGCCAGAGTTATTTGCCGCAACAGCGGCTGCAGCGGCAGCAGCTGCTGCTGCCGCAGCACTTAACTGCTCTACCGGTTGAATTTCAATTGGTTTGCGTTGAAAAAGATTCGCAATCTGCGAAACTTTACCAACCGCCGTAGGTTGCTGCATCGATTTCTCCATAATATTGCAATCGATGTAAATGTCGAGGGTTATTCAACTAAAATAGAAGAAAAAAACAAAAAAATATGGAGTGATTAGGAAGAAGAATAATTGAAGTTAAAAAACATCTGATTTCCTAAAGGGATTGATTACAAGTAAATTCATCATTGCTTTCGTCGAAAATTCAATGCAATTATCTTAAAAACTAATTACGTGCATTGTTTTAAAATAAATTTAATAACGGGAAAAAAACAAAAAAATGTAAAAATTTCTACTCCATCAACAAAATTAGTATTTAAAAAAAAAAAAAAAAAGAAAAAAAAAACCAAAAATAGTTAAAAATTCAAAAACAGCTTTTACTAGAAAAGAGAACAAAATTATAATAAATTCATAAAATATACAGGTGTTCTGACAACACTGATAATGGTGTTATGGGGCGACGAGGGGCAAAGCTGCCGACCACCACGATTCATAGCAAACAAGTAAAACAATTAAAGCCTTTATCTGCTATCTTATGAATTTTCGTTATCAGAAAACATGAAAATAAACTAAAATTGATTTTATATTTCCAAGAACTTTCGAAACTTTGAAACACAAACACAAACGTAACCACAAACTTGAGAAACGTTATAAAGATTGTATCTATACGCTATATACAGAAAAGTAAACGGGAAAAAAAGCGTAGAATGCTACATATGAAGAAGGCGCATCTGATTTAAAATGGATCTTGCTCTTGCCCTCAGCATGACATATACAATAACGTGAACGACTTAAAAGAATAGCTTATGTATTTTAAGTAAAAAAAAGATTTGAATTTAATTTTATGATTTTCTCATCGAGGCGCCTTACATTCATTTTCATCTCTGTTTACTTTATATATATATATATATATGGCAAACCTACAATTTCTTTTTTTTTATTCGAGTTTGCCAGGATTACTGGATTTTTGAGCAAAAATTTCAAGATCATGATTGAACAAATCTTTTGATCGATTTTACACAAGTAGCGTCCATGAAAGTCTTATCGCAAGGTGATTAAAATGCATGATACAATTTTAATACACTTTACACTCTATTCGGTGTTGCTTACTTGCTTTATTCGATATGTTATATGCCATTTGCCTTTAACTAGCAAATGAGAATTGTATGCCATTTTATGCCATTTTACGGATCAAGACCGCAAGGCACATGCAGCACACAAGTATTTTTTACACAATTGAACTATAATTTAATATGACCTAAGGCGGAAGTGTCCTTCCTATTCGCGTAACACAGTGGCTGTCAACAAAAATAGGCAGGTAATGGCCGTAATCTAATGGGTGTGTGCCTAAACGACCAGTGTCTTTACCGACTGACCACTTAGTATAGTTACGAGCGAGGAAAACTTCTTCCGCGAACATTGAGACTTGGCAGTCGCGGTTCTTACCTACTTGTCTATCCAAGTGGATAAGGATATCCATTCGCCACATCAATGTTTTCCTATAGAAATGTTCATCTTTTTGCTTGAGCTTTGAGTTATTTGCTTTTTTTTGTGCAAGTCTAGCAACGAAATGACATAAATTAAAAACCTAAAGGGTGTTTGCTTTATGCACAACTGCTCTAGAATGAATAATGAATGGAGTTACATGATAGAAAGAAAGAAAACCAAAAAGAAGAGATTTTAAGAAACTAAATATTGCTATGTAATAAAATGTAAAAAAGACGGGACATAGCCAGTTAAAACCAGCCAATTAAGATTTTCGCAATGCTTCTTGAAAAAAAAAAAAAAAAAAAAAAAAAATTACGAGTCCCCTATGATTTATTTCTTCGATCAGGAACTAGAGCAGTAAGTGCCGGAAGAATCAAATTTGGGAAGTATATCGAACCAGCCGATCAGATCAGATTGATCTGGTTAAACACGAACTTGTTTGACTCGTAAATATGACAAAGCTTACATCATTCAGACATTAAGATAGATCCCAAGCACTTGATGGATTATTTGAAATAACATTTATTATCGTTAACTATTGTTAGTAGTGGACCAATGAAGATCCGTTCTCAAGTGTTTACGACTTTCCTTTTACTGCAAATTTTTAAAACTTAAAACTTAATGAACGCGTTTCAGTTCTTACGACTCTTTCTTTACCATATTAACTGAGTTTAAATCGTGATCGTTGGCTTTTTGTTTCCATTTAGATATAGTTTTAATTAAATTTTTAGTGAAAGAACTTTAAAATAAAATGAACGGATGACTGGAAGAGAAAAAACAGCAAATCATGGGAAGATAACTTAACTCTTATAAAATATTTTTAATTTATGTAATAACACACATATACCAGATATCTATCTCAGATATATATATTAACTTATGCATAGTTATGAATGCATATAATTATATTCCCTATCATGTATTTTTGATTTTGCCATAGAGTTCTACTAACAGGAAATGTTTGAAAAATCTTCTTCGTTTTCTTCGTTTTTTGGTTTTTTCTCAGTTCATTGCTACCAACGTTTTTTCTATTCCTAATGCCAAAAATTTATTAAACTTCGTCATATATTAGCTTAAATTATATATGAAAATGTTGAGCCAGCCTTGCTATCTTATCTTTTATCTTAAATGTTGCAAAAAGTTAATTTTGATGTGCAAGATGACCCATATAATTGTAATACTATTTTAAACAATAGTTAAATAGATAAACAAATTATCAGAAATATATTTTAGAATATCATGGAAGATAATCAACCCTACATGGCAATTAAACAATTAAAAATCTTCAATCTTGTCTATGGATTACATACATTCGACTTCCTGGAGTGTACACACACCATTCTTATACCCACCACCGAAGAATGCAAGGTTTATTCATTTTGTCAAAACGTTTGCAATGCCCAGAAGAAAGCATCAGAGTATATATATACACAGTATATATATATATTCTTTATCAGCATGAAATTCTAAATCAATATAAGCATGACTGTCTGTTCGCCTGTCCGCGTGCCCGTCTGTTGTAATCATTCTCAGGGGCGCAAAAATGAAGCTATCGACTTCAAATTTGGCGGAAACATTCAATTCAGAATTTTTAACATTATCTTAATAATTTCAAATAAGCCCCTCAAAGGACAGACACAACTAAATAGATATAAAATTTTGTGCATTCATCCTGCGGCAGTGAGTATAAACAACCACATACTCGTAAAGTCTATATGTTCTGAGAGACATTTCTATCCACCGTCCATTTTTTTTAAAAACCTCTGCAAGTTACGTAAAGCAAGCAAGGCGATGAGAATATTTTGCAAACCGCGCACAAATCCTGGTAACCA